GTGAATAAGGGATAACCAGTCTAGTGTTTGGTTTGCTGTGAATAAGGGATAACCAGTTTTAATAACCAGTCTAGTGTTTGGTTTGCTGTGAATAAGGGATAACCAGTTTTAATAACCAGTCCAGTGTTTGGTTTGCTGTGAATAAGGGAAAACCAGTTTTAATAACCAGTTCAATGTTTGGTTTGCTGTGAATAAGGGATAACCAATTTAATAACCAGTTCAATGTTTGGTTTGCTGTGAATAAGGGATAACCAGTTTTAATAACCAGTCCAGTGTTTGGTTTGCTGTGAATAAGGGATAACCAGTTTTAATTGTTTAACCATTTTTAAAGGGATTTTAGAAGATTGTTCAGTTGATATTTTTTAACGTAGTGAGTTTCTGTGTTATAAAAATGTAAAATATTTTCTAATTGTTTCTGTGTTATAAAAATGTAAAATATTTTCTAATTGTTCCCGTGTTATAAAAATGTAAAATATTTTCTAATTGTTCCTGTGTTATAAAAATGTAAAATATTTTCTAATTGTTCCCGTGTTATAAAAATGTAAAATATTTTCTTATTGTTTCTGTGTTATAAAAATGTAAAATATTTTCTTATTGTTCCTGTGTTATAAAAATGTAAAATATTTTCTAATTGTTCCTGTGTTATAAAAATATAAACTATTGTCTTATTGTTCCCGTGTTATAAAAATGTAAGATATTTTCTAATTGTTTCTGTGTTATAAAAATGTAAAATATTTTCTAATTGTTTCTGTGTTATAAAAATGTAAAATATTTTCTAATTGTTTCTGTGTTATAAAAATGTAAAATATTTTCTTATTGTTCCTGTGTTATAAAAATGTAAACTATTTTCTTATCCTCATTAATCTCTCTCTTTACAGACCCTTCCAATACCAAAAGGATACACGATGCTGGTAGAAATACGTTTAGTAAGTTTTGGCTAAAGATAGAATTTTACGTAATAATGAAAATAATTACAATTAAAAGTTTATTATTCCTGTCTGTTTTTTTTTGTTTTTTGAAAGAAGACAAGTCCACCTTTCGAAAGCGCTCGGGTAATAAGACTTTTATTGATTTTTATTAACATTACTATATTTTCATTCCCTACGTAAATCAACAATAACGAAAACTTGAAGTAAGACCATGTTATCAATTGGTTAATATTTTCACTTTCCGAACGGAAGGTGGAAAATGTGTCCCTCTCAATCTAACTTGAATCTAAAACATAATCTAACAACGAGATTTTCTCTACAAAATCCAAATGATTTAATCGGCAAATAACAATACATTTCATATATCTATTTTACTATGAAATTTAGTTTAATTTTCTTTTGATAAACACACAAGATTTTCTGAAGGGCAAAAGTCAGATATTTCTTTATATATAAATATATATTGATATTTCAGGTTTTCGGTCCTCGTATCTTTTGGTGACTGTGATTCTTTTACGAACTGTGGATATGGAGCAATTGTTCGTGTCCTAAACTGGAAAAAAACTGGTTGAAACCATAAAGTGCCTGAACCGACTTCCTAGAAGTGAGTGCACAGGCTCATTTTACTGTGATACACGCTTCCTCCAAACAGTCACAGCTTTGTGGACTTGCAGCGCCATCTGTCCGCGCATAAGTAAAAATATAATCTCATCATAAGACAAGGTCGCCGATTGTTGTTGTGTATGTATGTAATAAAATGTCACGAATAAATCTGAATCTGTTGAAGCAGAAAAAAACAACACACGATGAGAATAAAAACAAACTTTGATTGAGTTCGGATGTTTTAGAAAACTCACAACAGCTCGTGCAATGTGTTAAGTTACTCGACGTTCAAAAATTAAATGTGTTAGTTATTGTGATTGGATTTCCTAAATTTACTTTATTTTCCCCTAAAAAAAGTGACTAATGTAAAAATAAAGAAGCACAAATGTGTAATAAATCTGATATCGATAAACAAAACTCGAAACAATAAATATGTCGTGATACATTACTGTACGATGTTTTCTATTTCCATCAGGGGAATTTGGTTTTTCAATCTATCCAGTCTTCATTTTTTGACTTCTTTAAGTCTTATTATCCTTATTAAATATGTGTCTCTTTAGAAAAGGGGAAGGACCTTCTTTATAAGAATGTTCTAAAAATAGTATCAAAAGATTCAAATATTTAGTACATATTATTACCACTAGATGGCAAAACATGGCATATAACTTTCTTTTTACAAATTTTCGTTCAGTATAAGTTGTTTATTTGCAAATTATAATTTGGATTTTTTTATCTTTCACCAACAGTGATATGATACCCAATTAAACAAATCAATAGTCCTTATTCGAGGATTTTTATAAAGAGAAAACATTTTAAACGAAACACGAAAAAACGTTACTTGATGTCAATACTTTGTTAGTTTATAAGGAGCATACCTTATAACACTCTAAACAAATATTTTACTTTAGTTCACCCCCACTAGATGGCAATAGCTTGTCATGTTATTAGCTAGTGAACGATGCTGGTGATTTGTTAAATAAATAGTATTTTTGAGATAACTGGCTCTCACGTTTGTACATTCTAAATATATTACCGAATTACTTTCAGTTATATAGTGTTCCTTAAACACTTTGAAGATAGCTTAAGTACGATTGGTATAAATCTGAACAAAAGCTTTACTATTATGTGCTAGTTTCGAAAAACTATAATGAAATTGGTTGGTTATTTAGTAAGTTAAATTTTTTCTTCAAATTCTATCATTAAAAAGTCAGGAAAATAAATAATTAAATAACAGAACAGGATAAGTAACATGAAGATAAGAGGATCACGTTGAAAAGAAAAACTTTTAAAATATTAACTATGATTTGAATTAAGTATTTTGATTTTTTTTCTCATTGTTTCGGCCCCACCAGCTGGCGCCATCTTAGTTTTTTATTATCATTTTATTCAAAATCTTGTAGGCGTTGTTCTAGCACAAAGCAACACAATGAGTTATCTGCCGTCTGTTCGCCAGGGAGAATCGAACCCTGGATTTTAACTTTGTAAGCTTGTCCATAAACTTACCACTGACCCACTGAGGAACCCATATGAATGTCACAGCATCAGAGGATACTAAAAATAAAATACATCATTATATATCAAAAATAATTGTGTTAACGAATGCAATTTTGTATCATAAGTATAAGAAAGTAAAGATATTACAGGGATACTATGTAAACTAAACTGAAACAATAATAGCATTTCTATGGGTTTAATGTAAATGTTGAAGCCATAAATCAAGAAACCCGTTAACCAGAGTGCCTTTGTTTGTTTTTATTGCGATTGTTTTGTCTTTATTTTAATATAAAGAACACATATTAATTGTATAACTAAAAACCTATGTTATATGATAGAAATGCTCTTGAAACAACCATAACGGGCAGAGAAACCCCATCATCCTTTTTCGACAGAAATTTTGTTTGTTGATTTAATAAATTCAAGAAAAAGTGACACATTATTAGAGAGAGTTTTTATTCTTTTTTTTTTCTTTTCATTTCTGTCTTTACTGGCCCCTAGTGGCACAGCGATATGTCTGCAGACTAACAACCCTAGAAACCGGGTTTCGATACCCGTGTTAGTTAGAGCATAGGTAGCCAATTGTGTAGCATTGTACTTAATTACAACCAACCAACCAAACAAACTGTTCTTATTAAAACTTTTTGGTTAATAATTTTAGTATATATTTTAGTACTAACGATAGATGGCGCAACAGTATCTTTGTTAAGGGTAGAATACACAATAAAAACCTATGCCTTTTTTTGTGTGATATATGT